ATAAAAAATAAAAAATAAATAAACTAATTAAGACATGCGTGTCCGTCAACCTTAAACAATAATCTTTGTCAATTTTATTTTTTAGTCTTTATGATGGTCGATACTTGATCTATCTCATACTGTTACATCCCCTGGCAACGCCGGACTCTACTGTATATATATATATATATATATATATATATATATATATATATATATATATATATATATATATATATATATATATATATATATAATTTATATAAAAAAGAAATAACCACGCATAGAACCAATCAGCAATATTAATGCTATTATTGGCGATATCCATCGCTAGTAGTGTATAATGTATGCATAATAATAGCACATTCCCCCAAAAAAACATCTTTCGGTCTACAAACAATTATTTCCTCTTCAAGTTTTTGATTTTATGAGGAAAAAAATATGCCTGAGGATGAATAAAGGATTATTCGAAAGTACTTACATTTTAAAAAAATATAAACTGGAAACAACAGTTTTATAGATGAGGATCACGTCACTGTATGGATTAACAGTATTTTAATGCATACATTATACACTACTAGCGATGGATGTCGCCAATAATAGCATTAATATTGCTGATTGATTCTATGCGTGATTATTTCTTTATATATATATATATATATATATATATATATATATATGTATGTGTGTGTATTGATATAATAGGAATGAATAGTTAGATTATATAATCTAAAGTTCCTTAGTATTTTTGTTTTTATTTTAAAAAAAAACAGTTCTTAATACAGAAGTAGAGCTTAAATTATAATTATTAAAAAAAAAAACAGAGCTCAATACAGAAGTAAAGCTTAAATTATAATTATTTAAAAAAAAATGATCAATCACAAGAGTGAAATTACTATGTTTCGTACTGAATGTCAAATCTCAAAAGTTTAATTTCAAAATTAAACTTAAAATTTAGAGCACAGTTTCATTGTCAAGCGATGTTTAGATGTCATCTTCAGTTAGTTATTCCTTCCCCTCTTCTTTGCCGTCAACTTCTTTATTCCCCTACCCTGCTCCATTTGACTATCATCTTTTCAGATCCTAAGAATTTCTTAAAGGGAATACAGCTTATTAATTTTAATTTTAATCGAAAACGAAATGATGTTACCGATAATTCCATCAATTTGGAAAACTGTCGGCCTTTTTAGACCGACAGTTTTCCAAATTGATGGGATTTTGTTATCGATAATAAGGGAGAAATATCATTTTAATTAAATGCGTTTCTCTCTCTCTATCTCTCTGCTTGTGTGTGTGTGGGAGGGGGTAAATACACTGACGTATATTTAGTTGAGTAACTGGACATATGATCTAAACTGAAATTTATACATTTACAAATACTCGAGAAATAAAAGCGATTTTCAAATTTACAGCGCATTACTTGCATCATTTGATTATAGTAGTATGAACGGATTAGGCAAAACATAAGCAGACATAATGTCTGTAATTTATTTAATCCGACATGCCAAAAAGAGAATTTGCTGCGTAAATACACACATTTTAATATATATATATATATATATATATATATATATATATATATATATATAGCTTGTAAACAGTATCTATTACTGTTAGTAATGCAATACTCTTCGGTAAAGCGAATCGAGTTCTCTCAGTCACTGTGTGTTTATCCAAAAATAAATACCCCTTAAATTCACCCTCATCCCTGCCGTGCGCCAACGGCTTAGGGTTAGAATCTCCGACTGACACCAATTCAGCCGGGTTTCTATCCTAGCTAGAAGTGACCGGACGTCTAGCCACACTGATGAGCTGTGATACAATGAAATATATATGAATGACAAAAACATGAAACTGAATTGTACCACATTTTTTTATGGGCATTTTGCTCCTCGGGATAATTCTCATGGAGCTTGTCAATACTAAAACTATTGATAAAAAAGTGATATATATATATATATATATATATATATATATATATATATATATATAATAAATAACACCGTGTTCTGAATATTTCTGGTAATCGCAAGATATTTTGTTGTTAGAGTGGCTTATTATTGTTGTTAATTATTTAAATGCATTGTAATTTAATTTGGGATTTGAATTTAGTTCAAGATTAACATTTAAGATTGAAGATAAAGTTTGGAATCGGAATTATAAATTCTAACTTAAATACAGACGCCGTTGTTATCAAAATGAAGAGAAAAAAACGTTTGAAAATCAAAGGGAGTAACTCTATTATTATCATGAAAATTAATAAAGTAATTAATAATATTGTTAATATTAATAAACTTAATAAAAGTAGTGAAAATTAATAATAATAAAATATACAGATAATGATGAAATAAAAATTAATACACATTTACCTATATTTATCAATTTCATTATATATATATATATATATATATATATATATATATATATATATATATATATATATGTGTGTGTGTGTGTGTGTGTGTATGTGTGCGCGTGTGTAGGGGACATATAGAGATAATAGAACATAGTATATATGATTAGCAGCAGTGGATGTCACCACGTCTAAATAACCCCAGGGAGGCCATATTTTTTTTCAAGATTGGTTTAGAATTCGCAGTAATTCTTTTCATATACATCTTACACTACCAAAGAGATGACCAGTTTGCCGGAACTTTCACATTGGCAAATTCAGTGTTTTCTGTCTTCTTGGCTGGCAACCATTGCAGGCAAGAGAACATATTCTGTCTCACTTTTTCATCTCTAGCTGGAACGGATAATATGCGGTATCCGAAGATATTCTTATGATCTGAAAGGATGATAGTCAAATGGAGCAGGGTAGGGGGATAAAGAAGTTGACGGCAAAGAAGAGGGGAAGGAATAAACTAACTGAAGAAGACATCTAAACATCGCTTGACAATGAAACTTTGCTCTAAATTTTAAGTTTAATTTTGAAATTAAACTTTTGAGATTTGGCATTCAGTACGAAGCAGTAATTTCTCTGTCGCGACGGATCATATTATTTTTTTAAATAATTATAATTTAAGCTCTACTTCTGTATTGAGCACTGTTTTTTTTAAAAATAAAAACAAAAATACTAACGAACTTTGGATTATATAATCTAACTGTTCGTTCCTATTATATCAATACACACACACAAACACACACACATACACACAAAAACACACACACACACACACACACACACACACACACACACACACACATATATATATATATATATATATATATATATATATATATATATATATATATAAACAAAAAAATAGAGATCTACTTGGGGGGGGCTAATGTCAAATCCAACCTACGTTAAAAAGTTTCTGAATTATATATATATATATATATATATATATATATATATATATATATATATATATATATATATATATATATATATAAAAAAAAAAACGTTAAAAGCTTTAATAAAAAAAAATCATAAAAAGAACAAATTTATGGCCGTAGCTCCCAAAATCAAAGATATTTTATACTTGTTTCACAAAACTTCAGCTTTGACACATGGGTTGGTCTCTCGTTCCAAAGCGTTCTCTGGATAATTTTCCATATTCCTTAGTTTACATTCCTTAAATCCACCAACCATGACCATTATATCTGAAACCCTCTATGCCACACACCCAAGAAAGAATCGTCCCCGTTCCTCTCGTATTCCATTAGTAAGGAAGAAGTTAGATTCAGTAAGATTCTTTCCAAGGATGGCTGCTTTGAGGAACAGACTCCCAAGTGAATGCTTCCCTCATCAATACAATCTTAACCTCTTCAAGACTAGCGTTAACTTATTTTAACTACATAACTCAATGAACTTCACTTCTTGCCATTCCATACGCTCATAAAAACTCCACAAATTAACCCTCTACCATGAGTGGTTCTTGGGCCTTCCTTTGGGCGAACATTAAAATCTTTTTTTTTTTTTTTTTTAACTGGGCTTACAAATTCGTGGGAATGGCGTATCTATCATCACCCTCGAACATTTCTGAGTCTATTTTTGTTTTTATAGCTGAATACACGATATGTTTTCGCGCAGTCAACCAGCGACCCGGTCAACACGCGACCCTCACCTTAAACAAGATCGATCTCAATTCTTTCCTATGATATCTTGACAAGAAGTGATTATATAAATTTTACCGCTGACGGAAAGGTGCAAAAATGGCCAGGCTTTCTCAAGCCAAACCGCTGGACATTTTAGTGAAGTGGATGGTGGCGGATGGTCAGGCGAGCCGGAAAACTAACGCCAAAGAATATGGACATTGGCGAAAACGGACCAACGTTGCGATGGGCAGTGAGAGCGGCGAGACGAAGAGTATGTAAGAGGTGTGTACTTTCGCATCTTTTCTGGTCCCTGGAGACTTCAGATTGTCAGGTCGTCTGTCATCTATCAGATGGGAAAAGCCAGGGCTTCGCAAAGGACATCGACACACAGGGCTTCGGCGAATCGGTGAAACTAGCACCTTCTATAGCCACGCAAGGTGTAAATAAGGACTAACAGAATGTTGAGTCATGTAGAAGTTGCATGCAGAAACAGCTTTTATTATATACTTATATATATATATATATATATATATATATATATATATATATATATAATTATTTAAAAAATGAGAATATATATATAATTATTAAAAAAATGATTTTATATATATATATATATATATTTATTTTTAAAGAAAATATGATTCCATCGCTATATAATTTTTTTAAAAAGTAATTATAATCTAGGCTCTACTTGTAAATTGAATACTGTTTTGTTTTCTTTTTTTTTTAATACCATAGCCCAAATAAATAGTTTAAATACCCTACAAAAAAGATAACCCTTTATGAAGTCGTCTAAAAACAAATGTTATGGCAGTTTTTATATGCACAAATCCCTTTCATAAAGAAATAAAATAAAAAAATAAATTAATCTCCATAGACATGTAAACCAGACTAGGCGAAAACATCTTCCGTTTCAAATTTAGACACCTCCACCTTACCTTGACTTGACATCTATGAAAGTAACTCTATACCGATACTTATTATTAACACCCAACCTATTTTAAACAATTCGCCCTAGCTGTCACCATGGAAATTTTGATTTCAATATTAAAACACGTAAATTTCAGAAATAAGTTATTCCCCCCAAAAAAAATTTCGCTTGAAGATGGAACAGAGCTTACTTTAACTCAATTTAATTCAAATAATTATATTGAGTTTTTTGGCTCTTGTTTTGAAACATGAGACCCTCTTATGTCGCGAGTTGGAATCATATTTTAAATAAATAGTTATATATATATATATATATATATATATATATATATATATTTATACATATATATATATAATAAAATGGATAAATCCGATAATTATTTTAACATATAAACAGAATATATATATATATATATATATATATATATATGTGTGTGTGTGTGTGTGTGTGTGTGTGTGTGTGTGACGTGGCCTTGATTGACTTCAAACTGGCTGCAGCAAAAGAAGGAGCGCCAAAATTAACTTAAAACGCTTACATAAACACAGAAAAACTGAAAGCCTTGAAAACGATACGTTGCTTAGTTGGTTTTGTTTGGCGAAATACCAACACCTCGATGAACTTTTTTTTTTAAATTCCTAAATCTAAATATTTTGAACGCAATTTTATTCTTTCAACTACAAAAAAAAAAATGTATATAATTTTAAACTTTCAGAATAAATTTATGTTTTTGTTTTGTTATTAGGATTATTAACATAAATAAAAATGAATAAAACACATGATCGAATAACTCTGAACATATCAAATTACTATATCGTAATCAATTTCTTTCCAACTATAATCAGGAGGAAAAATTCTAAAATAAACTCATCAACACTCATATATCTCCCACTGATTTAAGTAAAAAAATAAATGTAATTTTATATTTTATAATTTTATATTTTATAATTTTATAATTTTATATTATACTAAATTTAATAAAACCAACCTACTTATTCAAAACAATTATTTTCAGCCAACTAGGATCTTGAAAAAGGCCAGCATTGTATATAAATTTGAATGTCCTTTAGGAGATTGTTTCTCTGATGAAAATATCAATACTTACGTGGGGTTTTACTACGACGATGTTAACAAAAAAATTTACATTTCATTTGGCCGAGCAGAGTTCAATATCTCAGCATTTAAAGGAATACCGATGCCCACAATTACAGATTTGACGTATATTAGTTAAAAATTATTAGTTATTAGTTGTAATCTATGTTATATAAAAACAACAATAAGCAAAAACTAAAAAAATCTACTTTAAAAGTACTTTATATAAGAGATTTTAAGTGAACTATGAGTATATAGCAACAAAGCCCTTAAATGCATATAAAAAATAAATATTTATATGAGAGAAAAAGTGGGAAAAAACACGTGAACTTTGAAATCTAGAACGTTGCATAAGCAGTAAAAAAACAAAAAAAAACAGAAAAAAAACAAAAAACAGAAAAAAAACGAAAAAACAGAAAAAACCAAAAAACCAAAAAAAAAACCAGAAAAAACCCCTCAAAACAGAAAAAAAACCTAAAAAACAGAAAAAAAACAAAAAACCCAAAAAACAGAAAAAAACAAACCAAAAAAACAAAAACAAAAAAAACAAAACAAAAAAAACAACGAACAGTTGAATTGCTTTAAGTTCACAGAAGCACATATACATACTCCCAGACAACTTAGCCACCCTGAAGATGATCTCAGATGAGATTGAAAGTGCTTGGGTAAAATAAAAGACTATTCGAAAGTAAATTTTGGTATTTTTCTTACTCAATTTTCTAAGAGCACACACACACACACACACACACACACACACACACACACACACACACACACACACACACACACACACCGATCTCCCCCAAATGCTAACAATTAGTTTCGATAAAACAACAGCACATAAATATAGGTTTGCACTGGATGACCGTCGTTTTCAGCGAATAATAGAATATTGCGTGTCGGATAGCAAAAATATCCGTCACATGAACGAATCATCCCCGGACACTTCGCTGTTGACTGGTCACTCAAGTCTACTCCCCAGCAGGGTGAACGGCCATCGTCCGGCCGACCTTTTTTTTATTGGCATGGCTTTGATGGAACAGCGAGAAATTTAAGACTGTAATAATCATATCCGGCTGTGCTATAACGACGCGTCCAACTGTAAGGGTGAGGGTCGGAGATAGGGTCGATCGTCCTCAGACCACAAAGAACACCCGGCGAGGGGACCGATAAATAATTACGGTAGGATTTAATAAATTTAGGTAGGCAGAAGAAAGGTGCATTCATCATTGTTTGCTTGTTGAAACATGAAAGTGAGCAATAACTGTTCGACCAAACGTCGATGGTGGGGTCTGGAAAAAATGGCTGTAGATATTATTATTTCCATTTTTTAGGTGCTTATATGAAACTACTCAATGAATTGGAGTAAATATACTTTTCTATTTAAGGAAATATATTACTCACTCAATAAATCAATAGATTAACACGCACACACACACACACACACACACACACACACACACACATATATATATATATATATATATATATCATACCACGAGTTGACCCAAGCCTTATAAAGGAAATTTAGTAGATGAAACCCATGCCTGCCATTGAAGGCTATGCTAGCACGAAGTCACAAGTCATCGTGACCGAGGGTTTGCGTGTACTGGCTTTGTTCAGATTGCTGATCACGTTAGATAACACGCTCTCTCCTAGAAACTGCAACTAAGGTCTGCTCAGCATAGTTGCAGTATAAAATACAGGTAGGCTCTATGGGTGTTGAATAAATGTGCCTGAGCAAGAGTCTGCAGTAGGGATTAGCTAGTCGACCTAGTATAGGTGTACCTTCGAATATGAGTGATCAGCCATTAAGGCCACTGGCGTATTTCGTATAGAAAAAAAAAGTTTCCCTTTCTCTCTGCCGTGCGACGATAGCCTAGTGGTAAGGATCTGTTGGCAAATCGGTTGGGTCTCGGCTTGAAGCAATCGGATGTCTAGCCACATTGAAGAACTGTGATACAGCGAAACAGTCTATCGGTGAATGACTATATATATATATTTAATTAATTCATCGAGTCTGAAAGAAACCTCAACAGAATGCAGAAAGCACAGGACGGCCGTTTCGTTCTATATTTGGGACACATCAGCAGTGCGCTTCCCCTACCGAGAATTGAAACCCTGACAGTTAGGTTGTCAAGCAAACATCATACCAACTGTTCCACCGGGTTTCGGTGACGAAGAGATTGTAAATCAGACTCAATATATCTCCGCTTGCTCACATATTCCGTGGTGGAACTCTTACTGCGTTCTCTGTAACCATAGGACTGTGCCCCCTAGGAGGCTACTCTCACCAAGCCGCTCACTCTAGAGTATTAGAAGCCGGTTGTCAAGCAAACATCATGCCAACTGTTCTTCGGTGACGAAGAGTCTGATTTGCAATCTCTTCGTCACCGAGGACCGGTGGAACAGTTGGTATGACGTTTGCTTGACAACCTGTCAGGGTTTCAATTCTCGGTAGTGGATGCGCACTGCTGATGAGTCCCTAATATAGGACGAAACGGCCGTCCAGTGCTTTCTGCATTCTGTTGAGGTTTCTTTCAGACTCGATGAATTAATTAAATATAATTATCGAATCCTCCTAATAATTTCCATATATATATATATATATATAAGTGTATTAGAGTTATCACTTTTAAAATTTTTGTAAAGTAATTGATTTCCTTTATCATAATTAGATGAACTTTTATTAAAAAATAATGAAGAAAATTTGATTTTAGTTCATTTAAAAGATGCCACCCCCAATAAGAAATTTCTAAAATCAATTATATTTATACTAGTACGATGACTTTCTGGAACCTTCTCGAATTTTGTGGAACATTATAGAACTTTAGGAAACCTACTAGAATTATTTGGAGGGTTCTAGAAATTTCTGGAGCCTTGTAGAACTTTCTGGAAATTTATGACGTGTAATTTTTAGGGCCATATAAACGTGGACACTCTAGGTTTTTATGTATATCTGGCGAATAAGAAATGTTTTTTTTTGACATTTTTTTTATTGTTTCAGAATATATGAGCTTCCTGATTAAGCAAATCGATTTTTTGAAAGATCTCCAGGTATTCATTTTTAACCATGATGTCTCATAAAAAAGCATTTCTCGCTCTTTGAAATTTGTAGATTCATCTCTTACAGATAGGCGAAGCATTGGTTTACTGGCCAAATCTTCAGTCCAGATGATTATCAGAAGCTTGTAAGTTTGAAAAAAAAACGTTCAACCGTGGAAAGTTTTTGGAATCCAGAATTATCTAGACTCGAAATCCCCCGAACAAGTCAA